TCTGGGTATGTGCTCACGTTGTGTGTGTGTGTTTACTACTCACTGCTGTATGTGTGCCCTTGGATGGGTTAAATGCAGAGCACAAATTCCGAATATGACTTACCATACTTGGCTACACATTACTTCACTTCAATATGCTTGCTAATGCAACAATGTATATGCATGATGCTAATGTTAATGTTTAGAATACTGTAATAGCTAATTGTCCATATTTAGCAGTAAAAATATATCTTTGAGAACCATCCAGGAATGAATGGTAAAGTCCAGGTAGATGCAGGTGCAGCTAAAGTAGTGGTTTATTATGGAAGGCCAGGAGATGCAGATGTTGATCCACTGAAATGCCAAGTGGTTTCTTGGCACATGGCGCAGTTTGTAGACACTGGGCAGCAACATCAAGATGGGCCTGAACTGGATCTGGTCAACTCTAGTAGCCTCTAGATATGTAACCAAATGCAAAAAGACTTGTATTAGCCTAAGATACCATTCAGTTAATTTATATCAGAGGTTGCAATTTTGCACTTAATCAGATACACTATAGAATATGAATTTGGCGTACTGTCCGAGGAGAGAGCTCAAAGCTCGAAATTTGACTTAAGCCCAAAGTACTCCCCCCATAGGAAAGGAAAAAATGAGAGTGAGGAGCTGGGGTGGAGGAAGGATGCTGGAAAGCTGTCGTGGAACAGAGGTATGTTGGCTCTACATATATGAATGTGGTAGCTAATTCGTATTAATTCTTAAGAAATCTCAGTCGTATGTTCTGTTTATGCTCCTCTAGGATTCTTTTTAGGGGTGCACTTTCATACTCTGCATAATTTCAGAGTAGCTTTTACGATGAACTGGAATTCTTGCACATTTCTATTTGACAACCTCTTTCAACAGTAAAAATGTATTTATTCATATGTAAATCCTTTGAAAGAACAGAGTCTTAATGTGTGCTTATCATGGCAATGACATGTCAACCTCATATTTGATTTCTTTTACAAAATGGTTGTGTCTATATGACCATATCACACATTTCTACCAGCATCAAACTAGAAACATAAATGCTTACAAGATCCACCTTGGTGTGTCACAGAGGTCATGAATACATTGACTGATTATCCATCGCCGGATGTGTGGCCTCTGCTTGTTTTAGCCATTTTGTGTCCATCGCATTTCAGCTTGCACGCTGATAGACTACAACAGTATTCCCTCAATGTCATAATTTACAAATATTTATTAAAATGATTAAACATAAAAAGTATTTCTTAAAAAATGCTTTTCCAGGCACAATGAAATTCTGTCTATGGAACACTTGTTTTAATAGAGCTACGGGTAAATGTAGTAAATGTAAAGAATTTTTGCAGTGTGAAATCCAATTTGTATTCACAGAATACAATTCATATGGGTGGTAGCAGGTCAGTTAAGGACCTGGTACCAATTAGGTAAATATCCATACCTACATTATAATTCAAGTCAGCCTTAATTGTACGGCTCCTTTCACAACCTATATTTTATGAATTCTAATACATCTTTACAGAAAGCAATGCAAGGCACACTGGAAAACAGCACTTTAGACCAAATTAAAAATAAATAAAATCAATAAATAAATTATCATTCTGTATGATTTATATGCTGTTTTCCTCAAAATGTACTGGTATCACTATCCTTGGGGACATTTGGACCCCATAGGTAGGGAATACCAGGTACACACACACATCAGTCTCATTTGTTACAGCCATTATTTTTCTCAAATTATATTAATGGTTTATAGTTTAAACCTTAAATTTTCATTTACTGTAATATTAATCAAAAGATTTACTTTCCAAAAGACAAAAAACATTCACACAAAGTGAAAAGGGGGTGCCAAACTCCTAGAGGGCAACAGTCCTGCAGAGTTTAGTTCCAACCTGCTCCAATACCTGGAGTTTTCAAATAATCCAGGCCTTGATTAGCTGGATCAGATGCATTTAATCAGGGCTGAAGCTAAACTCTCCAGGTACTGAGGGTACGTTAACACAACAATGATTTTCTAAAAATGGGAAGTTTTAAATTTGCATTTTTGAAAAGTTTTGCATATAAATTACAATGTTGTCAAAATGATCCCCGTTCACACAGATCCGCGAAAATGACTAAAAACACTGTATTATTCATGTCAGCTGGGTAGTTGGCAATGCTGCTTTGTAAAGAAACACTACGCACCTGCATGCGCATTACATCATTTTCACAAATTCATGTTTTTGTAGTTTACACAAAGACGATAACGGTATAGCGGTTTCAAAATCTTGCACTTTGAAACCCATTTTCAAAAGTTTGCATTTTCAGGTCCCCAAAATGAAGTTGTTGTGTAAATGAACAGCTAAAATGCATAACAAGCTTTCCATTTTTAGCGTAAATGCCTCGAGTGTTGAATTTACATGGTTTAATCATGTTCTGTACATCAGTAACACATGAATCAATTAATACAAACATAATTTGTTCACGTAACTTGCACATCATCAAATTAAGTTGTTTTGAAGTGACCACATTAAGAAGTCTCAACGTGATTGTATATGGTTCCCTGACAGGATTTAATCCATTAATGTTTACATCTGCCCTCAGCCTAAAAAAAGCTCCTCTCTTCACTACAGTGGTATCCCAACGTAACTGAAATGGATCTAAACCTCAACTAAATGCCGACATAACTGAACACTGAACTCTATGAAGTCTCCCTCCTTTCTCATCTTGCCCAAACACAAACACACACACACACACACACACACACACACACACGTATTGGGCCATTCCACAGGTGTAATGTTTTTTTTTTATATACTGTACAAATTGTATTTTCCTTACCCGAACCCTACCCCTAAACCTACCCCTCACACAAAACTTTCTGCATTTTTACATTTTCAAAAAAGATAATTCTGTATGATTTATATGCTTTTTTCCTCATGGGGACCAAAAATAAATAAATTACTGGTATTATTATCCTTGTGGGGACATTTGGACCCCATAACTTAGGGAATACCAGGTACACACACTGGCAAGGCATACTGTAAGTGTGTTTGTTGGCTCTGTTTGTTGTGGGTGTGGGTGGGTTAAAACCATTAGTTATCATTTGGCTTAAACCTTAAGTTTTCATTTAATATTAATTAAAAGGTTTACTTTCCAAAAGACAAAACATAAAGTGGAAAAAGGGGGTGCCAAACTCTTAGAGGGCAACCTGCTCCAACACACAGACCTTTAGTTTTCAAATATACTCCAGGCCTTGATTAACTTGATCAGATGCATTTAATCAAGGCTGAAGATGAACTCTCCAGATACTGAGGGTACGTTTACACAACAACGATGTGCTATAAAAGTAAAAGTTTGCAGTTTGCAAGTCTTGAATACAAATAACATTGTCAAAACAATCCCTGTTCACATAGATATGCGAAAATGACTAAAAACATGTATTATTCATGCCAGGCCAGTAGTTGGCAATGTTACTTTGTAAAGAAACCCTACATGCTTGCGCACATACCTAAACATAATACACATGACATCATTTTCACAAATTCATATTTTTGTAGTTTATGATAATGGTATTTCGGTTTCTAAAATTTGCACTTTGAAACCCATTTTTAAAAGTTTGCATTTTGAGGACCCCAAAACGCTGTTGTTGGGTAAATGAACAGCTAAAATGCACAACAAGTGCAATATAAATGTCATATAAATGGCATCCCCACCAGAGTGTTGGATTTACATGGTTTAATCATGTGCATCAGTTCCACATGAATTAATTGAGTAACACAAACATAATTTGATCACATAACTTGCACAATGTCAAATTAAGTTATTTTGAAGTGACCACATTAAGAAGTCTCAAAGTGATTTTAGATGGCTCCCTGATAGGATTTGATCCAATAAAGTTTACATCTGCCCTCAGCCTTAAAAAAGCTCCTGTCTTTACCACGATGGTAACGCAATGTAACTGAAACGGATCTAAATCCCAACATAACTGAACTCTAAACTCTATGAAGTTTCTCAAACCCTCCCTCCTTTTTAAGATACTTCATTCAGTATGATTTATATTCTGTTTTCCTCATGGAAGCCTCATGGAAGCCAAATTTACGGGTATTACTATCCTTGTTGGGAACATTTGGACCCCATAACGTAGGGAATACCAGGTACACACACACACACACACACACACACACACACACACACACAAAAAGACATATGCCTGTTTGTTTGTTGGCTTTTTACAACTTAATTACACCATAAACAAACGCTAAACAATAATATATAGGCCTAGCTTATATATTTGCAATCCTTTATGTTACTGAGTTTGCGCTTTTTTTATTTTGTCTTTTTATTTTTAATTGTAAAAAATGTTACTTCATTTGTAGCTCTTCAACGCAGTTTGGAACAACTACACTGTGGACAATGGAATCTTTTGGACTGTGAGCGTCAAGCCTTTTTCCCCCCTAGCCACTACAACATTCCCTAGCCAATACATACTGTACATTACATACATACATACATAAATAAATAAACGAACAAAATAAATAAAAAAACAAGTGAATAAATAAATAAATAAACCACAGTCAGTAAATTTATAGCCAGTATGTGTTCTGCACATCAACACTCTGGTGTCAAGTGAAAATACAATTTAAACAAAACGACGTTTATTATTATTATTATTATATGGGGAGTGTTAAAATGCACTTTAAATGGCATGGTCGTTTCACCTTTTTAGTGTATAACAGGTAGGCTATAATAAGGCTTCATTTATTATGCGCCATAGGTCTGACAGCTATACAGTAGCATAAACATGAGTATCCTCATGAGATACAAAGAACCGTGCAGAAATCACTTGATGCAGGTTCTGACTTCTCAGTCTTGCTAACTAATTGGTTATAGGCTGAGAGGTCCACAGTGCGTCACGACGCTCTCCAACTCTCAGTCTTCTGCTCTTCTCCCTCTCTCTCCCCTCAATCGCGCGGTGTCAGCCATCCGCGATGCTGGAGAGAGAGCCCGGCTCCACGCCAAACATGTCTGGGATCACCGCTAATGACGCCTGTAATGACTGTTTAACATCAGCGCAGCATCTGAAGTCCATGGAAATCCACTCCCATTCTCACATCGATGAAGATGATGAACTTCTCAAGTACATCTGGAGGGAATATTTGCATCCTAAACAGTATGAATGGGTGCTCATAGCTGGATATATCATAGTTTTCCTTGTGTCTCTGGTTGGAAACACCTTGGGTAAGTAGGCTAAGTTTGAAACGCGCAAGTAACTCAGAAAAATTTATTTCAGCTGTGCTTTAAAATGTTTTACTGTCAGACGAATACAGGTTTGTCCATAATGTTTGCTACATTTCTTTGCGCGTGGGATCATATTATAACTCAGAAAATGTTATAGAAAATAATTTCTCTTCTCTGCTTAAGAGGAGACACTGCAGGCAAAAACACAGTTTTTCATGCACCTGTCAATTTTGAAATTTTGGGCTTTTCATAAAGTGTTTTTTCAGACTAGTGGAAAGAAAACACCCAAAAGACACTGTTAAGCGTTTCTTTTATAGCACTTTATCTATTTGTGTCAATAGATTTCAGTTACAATACATATTTTTAAAGGCCGTTTTCTCAAAATGAGTTTTTTCTCTTACACTGAGCCATAAATCTCCACTTCAGTAGCACTTACACACACCAAACTTTACATTTTTTATTCCTGTCTATATTCTGAAGGTTTTTACAGAGGGATTTGTTCATATATAATTTGCTTGATTATATACAACATTTTATTTCCCCCAAAATTGTGAAAATATATTGTTTTCTGGCTGTTCAAAGTATTTTCTGAATTATGGAGTGACAAAAAGAGATACCCAAAATTCCCTCTGTAAAAAAATTTGTCTCTAATATTTAAAAAAAAAAATAAACAAGAAATTTGAAACTGACTTCATCCAATGTTCAGATTTTTGTACTAGAAATGTATGCAAATTAGTGCATATTTCATTAAATAATGCCTCATTTACATATTTAAACATAACATTTTGCAAAACTTGTAATACAAAAAATGTTTGCAATTATCAATGTAATCCATCAACTGGGTAAGTAAGGTGATAATTAGTAGTTAATTTTTTTTACCCTATTCACCTGCAGTGTCTCGCCCAAAACAGTCACATTCATTATGTGAACAACTGTACTGAGTTCAGATCTTTAAAGTCATTAACGCTACTAATGAATTTTAATTGGGCTGCAATTGTTTATTTGCAGTTTCTGCTAGTTTAAGATTTAAGAATAGTTACATCCTCACATGCACATATTATGGACCATAAATGCATCTACAATTTTAACAAAATGCCAAACCTCCAGTTGCCACTTTTCTCAAAGTAAAAATTTCGACATTTGAAGTTTTCTCAAGGAATTTAGAAATACGATGAACGCCCCAATGATCTGGATATCCCAGGTAATTGGTTAACTAATTTTGACATATTAATCATGGGTCCCTTGAAATGTTATTCGACTTAGAATTTTTTATTCACATTTTTCATGTGCTATTCTCTTTAAAGGTGCAGTGAGTGTTTTTTGTTGCATCAAACAGAATTGCAGTCTACCTCAGCCAATGACTTTAGGACCTGTTATCCAACAAACAGGACGGATTGAAACGACACACTTCACTTTAAAGGAATATTTGGCACAACAAGTCCAAGGCTAAACTCTGGCTGAAATTCATGGCTAAAGTCCTCTGAAGCTGTGTGATTTCTTTGGGTGAGAAGTCGTTATTTGGTGGTAATATTTCCATTCACCGGAGCCCTCAAATCATATATTGTACTTAAAACTCAGATTTTATTTTTATTTGTCCTTTATTTAGATGGTTAAGTCTAATTGTGATACAAGACCTCTTCCAGGGAGTCCAACTGAAGATGGCAGCTACAGTTTTCATATAAAAAATGTCACATATTTATGCATAAATGCAAACATAGAAACAACACAGGAAAAATAGCAAAAGAAGAAAGACATACAGGTCATATCAGCGATATCCATAAATACCCATTTCACCCCAGGTCAAGGATTATGGAAAACAGCAACATGTTTCCAGTTTGTAAGGGCATTCAAAGAGGAGAGTGTTTGTAAGGTAATAGTATGCTGCAGCTCATTCCATGTGCAGGAAGCATAAAGAGACAGTTTTACCAAGCTCACAGGAGACATTTTGGTGAATCAGGGTGCAGATGTACTGCTATAATTGCAAGGATAAAAGGCTGGGGATGTGAGTAGCTGCTTTATCTAATAATGTCTTGGCAATAAATGGTAACAAGTTGTTCTTTGATGTAAAGAGGAGTAGCCTCCAGAGATACTGTGGTCAATGCAGGCATTTGTTACAAAGCGTTATGCAGCATGATAAGCAGAAAACAATTGTTAAGCAAGGATGAAGTTGCATGTATGTAAATCATATTACCATAGTCTAACACAAATTTTCTTTCTGGCCCCAAATGTGTCGCTGAAGTCAAATGTTGTTGGTTACCTTTGTGTCTTGTGACCATTGATGTGAAACTTAATGCAACATGTCTAATATTTGATTTGAGAGCTGCGACAGATTGAGATTTTCAGTGGATAACAGCCTAAATTCTGTCTGCTCCTGTATGTATGACTTCAAAAGAGTCTGCTATTTTGAAACTTGTCTGATGCGTAGAAAAAGTGGTAACCTTAAAATGGTTGCATCTAAATTAACTGGTTTTATTTCAATCACAATATTATTTACCTTCACTGAACCCAACATGTTTACATCAACTTATATGAACAAAAGTAAAATGTATGGAATAAATCAGGCACAAATAGCTCTTTAAGGTAGAATTGCAGATTACCACTTTTTATCCACCTTATTCTTGCCGTAAAAATGGGCAAGACTGGGACTGGCTTCCGGTCTCATCCGTGTCCAGCTATTTTTAGCTGTACAAAACAGCTTGTTTTGCTGTTTGTTGTTGCAAATTGGTGTGTCTTATCTCATTATTTGAATGTATTAATTCAAATTAATTGAATGTATTAATTCACCTTAATTATGAACACAGAGATATGATACGATATGATAAGATATGAACTCAACAGTGCAAAGGCCATTTTCCTTTTAAATTATTTTCCTTTACATCACCGAGTGCTCTACTGTATATAAAAATGTTAGGTAAATTCACTTCAAGTATTAACATCTAAATTAAGTTTTACTGAAGTCAGAAATGTCGTTTAATTTATTGACTGAATCAGAATGAATATGTCAGGCTACGCCAATGAACATAGCCGGTTTTTACAGTGTACAAGACTTGGACACACACACACACACACACACACACACACACACACACACGGGCGGATTTAGTGATTTGGGGGCCCCAGGCAAAATACAGGAATGGGGCCCTATACAATTTCACACATTTACAACCTTGAGGTTGCTTTCACTGTTGCTCGCTGCTGCACGACCGTGTCCCATAGTTGTGTCTAATCTTTTAGATTTGTCATGTACATGTTATAAATAAAGGATTTCTTTAATGTTGTAAATCCCTTGTTCACATTTAAACAGGTGAATAGTATCAGAGTAGGTTGGACACTAGGTGGTGCGTTGGGGTAATTTTCCCTATGCAATTGTCTACACAACGTAAGGCTTTTTTCCCAAATTAGCCTAAGTTTTATTTTTTTCCAAAATCTTTTTTTCCGTTTTTATTTTTCTGGATTCAGTTTATTTATTTTTCTGGATGATTATATTAAATTTGAACAAAAAACATGTCTAATTAATTAAAATCATGAAACTTGTTTAATTTAACAGCAATTTAGGCCTATTAAAAGTTTAACAAGAATTACATTCTTAGGGCGCAAATTCTGCGCTTTCCATTTTAATGTTTCTGTATTTCATTTTAATGGTTTAATCAAAAACATATCTAATTAATTGAATTCATAAAAACAACTTAATTTATTAATTTGTATACAATAATAGGGCCTTATGAAATTTTTATTTTATTTACTAATTTTTTAGAAATTCTGTGTTGTGTATTTTCATTTTTCTGGTAATCAAATGAAGGCAAAAAAATTAATTTATCTTTTATTCCTGTGTAACGAGCAATGTCACAGAATTCGTCAAATATTTAATGAATAAATCAAATGCAATTCAGTACACTTCAATCAAATCGCGATATGGACTAGTGCATGTGAATATTAAATGGCAAAAATACTATTTAGCTACTACAGACGACAACCGCGAGCGTTGCTCCATTCATTCTGTCACATTCCGCGTTACACAGTAAATTCCGTTTTTATGAATACATTCCGTTTATGAATACCCATTTTCTACATCGCCCTACTTTTGCTAAGAAGCACGTTCAACGCGGACACACAGACGACACAGACGGTATTGAACACCACAGCAACCACTTGTGCATCCGCACTGAACGCGCATCTCGCATATAAAAAGCATTTTAGGGGGCCCTTGGCTTTTGGGGGCCCAAGGCAGTCGCCTACCTTTGCCTAATGGTTAAGTCCGCCTCTGCCATGCACACATGGTTACCCACAGTGACACTGGGCTTGCATATAGAAACCTGAGAAAACAAGTAAATCATGCATTTTTGTTGTTGTGTTTGAAAAAAATCAACAACTTTTGAAATGGTTTTCAGTCAGACTTTTGACTATTGGCATGAAGTCTGGTCCATTTTGCACATTATTTTGGCCAGGAACTGCCCATTTAAAGGGATAGTTCCCCCGAAAATGAAAATTCTGTCATCATTTATGAATGTTGGTAACCAGACAGTTGATGGTAGCCATTGACTTCCATAGCATGGAAGAAAAATACTATGGAAGTCAATGGCTACGAGCAACTGTTTGGTTACCAACTTTCTTCTTTTGTGTTCAACAGAAGAAATAAACTCATACAGGTTTGGAAACAACTTGAGGGTGAGTAAATGATGACAGAATTTTCATTTTTGGGTGAACTGTCCCTTTAAGAGGTGTTCGGACTGACAGTGATTCAGTCGCTGGAGGAAGGGAACATGAAATGACCGTTTCTAGAGCATTTTAGTCCTTCTATCCTATTTTGATTGGCAGGTGTGGGCTTCTCCAGGTTGGAGACAGAGTCTTATCCATCAATGGAATTCCTACAGAAGATGGAACGCTGGAGGAGGCCAATCAGCTGCTCCGGGATGCTGCTCTGGCCAATAAGGTCACGCTAGAAATTGAATTTGATGTGGCAGGTTAGAGAGGTTTCCAATTTCTTAAAACGTTAATTTCTA